GATCTCAAAAGGTCTAGGGGTGAGGTGAAAATAAGCAGGAATTTGGATGTTCACCTGAACCTCTCTGGGTTGTAGAATTGAGGTGTTGTGAGAACAGGTGACTCTAGAAAATTTCCAGTACTTCCTGTCACTTGTGTGGTCTGAGCTACCATGGGAGTTTGTCCTATAGGGATACTTTTGCCTCCAGTCCTGACCACAAAGTGCAGGGGAAATGAAAACAAAAGTTATCTCTTGACACTCAGAAAAAGATGGATTTGATTTTGGTGTGCTGGCTGGGCAATGGTTAGATCAGGTTTATTTTGTGTGAACGGTTTCACTCACTTCTAATTATTCACCCCAGCTGTCACCATCTTACTGGGCAGCACCAATTGGCCACAGCTCGACATCACTCCTATAATTTCTTCCTTCTGAGTGTGGTATGCAAATGTGGCAGTTCCTGGTGTCGCACTTTCAGGGTAACTGCACCTGTATATCCCCTCTGTGGTCCCTCAAGGGCACTCACTTAGGGTTACCGGCTTCCAGCCGTCACCTCTCTTGAGCAGAGACCCACCTCTCTCTCTCTCTACTGGGGTTTTAAGGCTTCACACACAGTCCCCTGCTTTACACAGTGACATCCCCAGCAAGCGAGTCTGCCTAAACACCAGTTCCCGTGCTTTGCTTTCTCTCTGAGGGCAATCAACGGTGTGATGCCAGCAGTTACAAGCCAGCACACAGCCCTTTCTAAGCAAGCACGCTTATTCTTAAGATGAAAGCATTACAGAGAAAACATAAAAACAATATACCGTATATCCATGCTGAAAACTTACCAGAGGTCACCCGTTAGTGTTATGGGGCCCTAAAAGGCAGGCCAAGGTCCTTCCAACCATTCAGCAAGGATTGGGAATCCCGCCGCCCTTTGGTCTTCCCCCTTAGCTGGATGAAAATAAAGGCCCTGGGTGAGTTCAAACACAGCCCTTTTAAGCCAAAATCCTTTCTTCGTTTTCCTAGTCTCTGGAAACCCTGTTGGAACCAATATACGTGAGCCTCCCCAGAGGGTGGTATCTCTCGCTGGGTTTACAATGTGAGTGAGTCATCTAAATGAGCCCCCACCGTTTCAGTTCCTGAAGGAGCTGTGGTAACCCTCCCCGTGCATTAGAACACAATCATATGCACAATCCCTGGCCCCCAGTGCTACATCCGCTTAATACAGTAGGTTCCCCCAAAATACTGCATGTCTGTCACACCTGGCACCTGTGCAGAGTAGGTGGAATTAACAATAAGCGGTGTTTAACCAAAAGCTCTTCCCACACTTGCCCATTTACATGGAGGAAAAAAGCCTGGATGTGAGGAGCCTACAGTTCTTACTGGGCCATATCCCTGACTACAGCTGAACTGCGCACTGTGTTCCTTTGCCCTGAATTAGAGCAGCCCCAGACCCTAAGCAGCCAAAATTACAGCCACAGATATTGGACACCTGCCCTTTACCCTGATATACCGCAACAGATAGGGAATGGCCTAGGGCAGGGGTTCCCAAACTGGGGCACATGTACCTGAGACATCTCTGGGGGGGTACACAGGAGAAATTGTGTAATAGCGGATTTTAGTTTATTTATTGCGTTTTCATAACAGGCTACTCAGAGGAAGCTTTAAAACTCTGTGGGAATTTGTTATAGAAAATACAGTAGTTAATTTACTTCAAGATGTACCAATGAGAACACAGATACACAGAGATGCTTACATACAGAGCCCTCACCTCCAATCACCATACAGCGCAAGTTCAGTTGCCCAGCAACCATCCAGTCTAACTGAGCTCAGAACATGGGGGCGGGGGCAGTCGGTTGTATAAGTCGCACTATATCTGTGCATAACAGTGAAATATGGACAGATGGTTAAAGACAGGTAGCGTTAAGAAGAACACACAAAGTATCGGTGATGAGACGGGTACGGGTATGTGGGCAGCTGGTAGATCTGGAAGTGGGTACGCAATAAGAGAAGTTTGGGAATCTCTACACCACTGGAGAATCACCCTTGCGTTGAGGTGACCATCCTGATGCTGGATACTTTGGGTTTAAGGCCCGTTTGCATTGGTGACATAGTGCAATATGGCCATGCCATAAAGGAAAATCTGTCACACAACTTCATTTTGCTCTGCATCCTGCACCAGCGCGCACAGTGATCTTCACTGAGCGGCCTGTCCTGTGAGCCATGCAGAAGAAACAAGAGAATGAAGAACACAGTTTGACAAGTCAAAGTAATAAAATCCGATCCCTGTAGCAGCCTCCCTGAAACGCTGCACGGTAAAACGGTTAATAGTTAGCTGCTTTTGTTTTACATCTTTCCCCTGGGGGACACTCTGAAACGCATTCTGTTTAGAAATTCTGCTGCTCAGATGGTGGGGCCCAATCCAGCCATCCCTGTGCTGAGTAGGGCCTGCCTCTGCAATGGGACTCTGCTTTACGATGGGAGGTGGGGGCAGAATTAGGCCCTTAGGTTTTCTGGATTTTTCTTTCTTTGGGGCAAGATTGTGCCTTTCAGCACAGCCATGAGCAGGGGGTGGTGTACCAGCTGCCCCACCCAGGGGGCACTGGCTGCACACACACCTTTGTTCCCTCTTGTTGTTTTTGGGGAGGGGGAAGATGAGGTGGGGGAGGAAGGAAGGAAGGATTAAGGGGATGATGAGGAGGGAGTAACTTGTTGCAACCCTTTGCAAATGTGCGGTTTGCTCCCCCTTGCACCTAGCCAATTGCTGTGCTCCCCAAGTAGAAATGAAGCTCCACCCCACCCGCTGGCTTCCAGGGGATGTGCTTCACACCAGACCCAAGATATGGGGATGGAGATGCCTTACTTCCCCACACCGCCTTACTCAGGCAAAGATGACAAGGGATGATCTAACCTTTGGGGTTCTTACTAAAGACCTTTGTGTGAAGCCAGCATCTGCCCCTAGGAGTTCGTCTGCTCCTGCTTGTATCCTCAGGAATGGGATGTTTGACATGGGGCCATAGTTAGCTAGAACTGAAATATCCAAGTTGGGCTTCTTCAGTGTTGGTCAGACTATTGTGTGTTTGAAGGAGGAAGGGAAGATACCTTCTGTTGATCAGGAGTAGTTGCTCCTGATTCATTTTCACAAGTTGCTCATGATTTTTCACAAGTTGCTCATGATTCATTTTCACAAGGCAGGATGGGCGTAGGTCGGATTCACAAGTCTTGGGTCGAGACTCCTTTAAGATGTCCAGAACTTCTTGGTGAGAGAATGTACTGAACTCTGGGTGTGCAGGCAGGCTGTTGGTTGGTGGGTATAGGTGATCCATGGAGTTTTAGAAGCCTTCCCCAGTGTGGGCGATCTTTTTGGTGAAGTAGGATTGCAGTCCCTCACAGCGCTTGGTACTGGGCTCTGATGCATATTCCAGCGACTCCGGATTAATGACGCTGTTTACCACCTTGGATAACTCTTTGGGGCGGGATTTGGTATTCTCAGTGGAGGCTACTGTAGTGATGCTCAGAGAAAACCTCGAGATACTTCTTGTAACTTTCCACTGGAAAGGAAGGGGTGGGGGAGTCAAGTTTGGGAAACAAAGGTTTCCCGCCTTTATGTAAATCCTATTTAAGGGTGGGGAGGAAAGCAAACAGGACTCCTCCTCTCCCTGGCCTATCTACCCAAGAAGAAAGACTGCTAAAGCTGCCTGAAGGGAAGGCGGTGGGGAGGGGGACGGAGAGTCCTGACTGAGACAGCGGTCCAGTCTTAAAAGAAATATAACTGGAACTCTGAACCACAGAAACTTTGCAACCTGCCTAAAATAACATTTAGGGTGAGAATTTACATTTTGTAACCTGTTTGTTAAGTATATTCAGCTTAGCTTGCGTATTTTGCTTTATTTGGTCAGTAATCTGCTTTGTTCGGTCTGTTATCTCTTATATTCACTTAAAATTCACCTTTTGTAGTTAATAAACTTATTGCTTGTTTATAATATAACCCAGTTTATGTAATTTCTAACTGGGGGGGGGGGTAAGACATTGTGCATATCTCCCTCCACATTGAGGGAGGGGGCGGATTTCATAAAACCTTTGGGTTTGTCCCCCTTAAAAGGAGTGGGCACCAGAGTGTTGGGGAGAGACCTCAGGCTGAATCTTTCCAGAGCGGATCTCTGTCTCTCTCTGCAGCTGGGTGTGACCCTCCCGGTGTGCTTGGCTGGAAGAGGCTTGTGAGCCTAACCCAGGAAGGCCAGGTAAAGGGGACCCAGGCTGCCAGAATAGACAGGCTCAGTGGTGTCTCAGCACATAAGGTGACAGGGCCAAAACCCGTCACATTCCCAACCTGACAACAGCACAACTTGAAAAGGAACACAAGTTTTGCATTCATTGCCTGGATCTCTTGTGAATGTGAAATCTTGTCTGCTTCCAACATGAAGAATTGTGGTTTTGAGGGCTCATTAGCCAGTGGTGGATCAGAGCTGGTGATTGCTATTGTAATGTATGGTGAAGGCATTTCAGTCACCCCCGTTGGTGCTTTTCCCTGAGCTATGGATGTCATCGACTGTGATGTTTGCTGATCTTTTTCTAAGCACTAATCTGTTTTATTTTCCTCACAAATCCAGGTTCTAAAGCCCTTTGGAGTGCTCCTTTGAGGAGTGAGTTAGGCCAGTGAATACTCCTCACCGTTCTCTCCTTGACATTTTAGCATTATTGCTCAATCAAGCATGAAGCTCTTGTGGTCTCATCACCTCAGGCTGTGACTGCATCCGATCCCACAAGCTCAGCAGTCTCAAATCTTGGGCTTGTTACGTGCTCCTAAGACCAGGGGGAGCTGAGGGTCCTTTCACCTCACAAGATCCAGCCCTCAGGCTTGGTCGATAGCGTCCAGTGTAACTAGAGCTGAGAGGCCCAGTTTTCAAAACAGCTCCCACTGCTGCTAGGCAGAGTTTTGGGTGCTGAGTATCTCTGAAGAGCAAACCGGAGGCGTTTTAGCTCATTCTGTTTGGTGAATGACAGCTCTGAACCCATCTAGTGTTCTTCTTCTTTTCCAGCTCCTACGGCGAGCTCACCAACTGCACCATCCTGATAGCCAAGAAACTGGATTGCTATTGGCCGAACCAGCTGGTGGACGAGTTCTTCATAGCCATTCACAAGCACTATTTCAAAAACTGCTCCCTCTCGGGGAGGTCTCTGCGCGACCCACCTAACAACATCCTATGCCCGTTCCTTGTGGTCCCCATCCTCATCACCCTGCTCATGACGGCGCTGGTGGTGTGGCGGAGCAAGCGGAGCGAGGGCATTGTGTAAGCTAGCATCCCCAGGATCTCAGTAAATCAATAGAGAGACCTACCTTCCTGTGGACTAATCCCTCTCTGTCAGACTCGGCGAGCCCTTGTGGAATCCGCAGCACGTTGGAAGCTTTGGTGAACAGCTTTGTAACCCCAAGGCAAAATGTGGAGAAAGAACAGTGCACACTTGACCTTTAACACTGTCCTGACTAGAGAGGTGTGCTGTACTCATACACATTTCCTCTGGATAACAACCCTTTGTTCAGGCAGAGATGACATGCTTTGGACTAAATGCCACTTCTCATTACTCTCAGTAACTGCAGCACTTCTTGCAAGCCAATTACTTGGTCATTTTAAAAATCATTTATGAGCCAATTAATTGAAAACGTATATCTATAGGTCAAGATTAGTATTTATACACTTAATCAATAATCAGCCACAGGATGGATCTGGGGAGGCACCATTCTGTAGACATCTAATTATTATAATTTATTTCTTGCAAAGTTTTTTGGCTTGAATGCTTCTGAAGTCTATTGTTGTTAATTAAAGGAACCCTTGATTACTTTGCAAACCGCTGTTGTCAGTTTTTGCTTATAATGTACTGAAATATTGCAGCATTGCCTAGCTACACAGAAGCCAGACTTTTCATGGTTAAAAGAGATTTTTTGCAAATTATTTCTCCTATAGTTTCATAGAACTGTAGAAATGTAGGGCAGGAAGGGACCATGAGAGGTCATCAAATCCAGCCCCCCTGCTCTGAGGCAGGACCGAGTAAACCTAAACCATCGTTGACAGGTATTTGTCCAACTTGTTCTTAAAAACCTCCATGGATGGGGATTCCACAACCTTCCTTGGTAGCCTGTTCCAGAGCTTAAGTACTCTGACCAGTTAGAAAGTTTCTCATAATATCTAAAGGATATCTAGAGACCTCAGCCAAGATCAGGGCCCCATAGTGCCAGGCACTATGCAAACATAACAAGAGACAATTCCTGCCCTGGGGAGCTTACAATCTAAACAGAGGGAGGGGGAAAGGAAAAATTCTCCCCCGGGGAACTGAGGTACAGATAGATTTCAGTGACTTACCCAGAGAGTTTGCGGAAACTGAACTGAATGCAGCCTAAAGCTCAGTCTGGGGCCTTCACCACAAGCCCATTCTTCCTTCTTTGTAGCACCCTTCAGGAGGAAGGTGCTTTACACATGTTAGCATGAGTAATTATCGTATTATCGGCAAGTTTGTTCCACTCTAGGATCTTATTCATGAGATTTCTGATGGTCTCCGAGCTTGACAGGCAGTGTTAACACCCCCTCCCACACACACACACACGCGCGGTCACGCTCCCTTCCTCCACAAGCATAGAGCCGCTGCCATAGAAAGCGTCACATTTTATAGTCCCCAAACATCTTAAGTGTCCAGCCACAGTCTGAATGGGGGGGCAGGCGCAGGAAGCAATGGAGCAAAACGCAGTGAGACATGGCACCAAAACAGTGGACGAACACAGCCGTCAGTTATAGCAAAAGCACGGCTCTTTTCCCCAACAGGATAAGCTCTTGGAAGCAGAACTGTTGCTCCTGCAGATTGTTTTCCTTGATTCATTTTCCTCCCCTAATTCTAGCGAACAGTCCATTAGCCAGTGCGGAGACCCCAAAATATTATTGGAAAACTGACTTATTCCAAGATCTGTAGGGTATAGAAATCCAACTTCAATCCTGGAAAGCTCTCCTTGTGTCCACCGGCTCTCCAGCTGGCTGTTACAATGAGCCCTGCGCTTCCTCTAGGCTGCTAGCCTCTGTCCCGGTCCCTCACTTTCTCTAAACTCAAAACATCTTCTCCAGCGAAAATTGTATTTAGGTCCCAATCCTGCTCCCACTGAAGGACAGAGTGGTATTGAGAGGATGGGAAGGAGAGAGGTTGCTGTTGGTTTCATTGTTAGTAGGATAAGTCCCTTGTACTGGGGTTGACAGCAGTTTAAGGTAGTTGAGCTATACTGTCCCATTTACTTATTGCTCAGCCTTATGATATGCATGGAAGGTGCTCGATAAGTTTTGATAAGATACAGAGATATTGCAGTTTAAGTGCTTTTGTGCTGTATTTTTATTGCATAAAGACTGCAAAAATATTTTTATCATCATTAGTCAAATCTCCAAGTCCTTAAATCAAGGTTCATGGCCCCGGGTCTCTTAGTGGAAAATGTGTATTTTGTTCCAGACCAAAGCAGCATGGAATTGTCTTTAAATATTGTACAGTATTCTGTAATAAGGAATAAGCACGTTGCCAAAGGGGTTAAGATGGGAGGGGGTTTCTGAGAAGGACAGCTTTGTTGTTTCGCAGGGACAGGGTGATTCATAAAGCAATAACTTCCTTGGAAAAGGGAACTTTTCTACCCAGAGGAGCCTGGATCTGGATGAGAACAAATTCTAGTTGTATCGGGGGAGGTGCAGGAATTTAAGCAACCACGTAAGGAGGCTCATTCAGACACCGACACATGCATGTTCTAACTAAATGGTTCACGCACAGCGGCATGAAAAACAAACATCAGCATTGCCAACAATGAGCACCTACAGTTAGGTTCCTAGAACCAGGTCCTGGTATTTAAGTGCCTAATTCCCATTGAAATCAATGGAAGTTAAGCACTTAAATTCCTTTGAGGATCAAAGCCCTAAGCCTGATTTTCAAAAGAGATGAGCATCCAGCCTTTCCCACTGCAGTCCTGGCCAAACGCTTTTGAGTCTCACACAGATCCCAGCTGGATGGACTCCACAAGGCTGGATTCCTTACCCTCCTCTTCTCTTCTCTGGTGTCCTGCAGTATTTTCCTTTCCTGCTGCCACTGTCTCCTCTTTTTCAAGGCACAGATGGGGGTTTGCAGAGATCCACTGAAAGAAGGCAGAGTTATAAGACCCAGCACTCATACTGCAGGGCCACCTATATATCTAACCACAGGGGCCTAATTTTGAAAAGCATCTAATGGACTTTGTGATGTATAAAGCCCACACTGGCAGTGACAGAAATGCAGGGGAGCTTAATAAGCCCATGCTGTGGCACCTGGAGAGGAGATAGGTAATTAAGGATTAGACCCAGCTGGGAAGAACCCAAGTGGGTAGGTCCTGTAGCAATGCAGGGCTTTACTTACAGGAAACAAAGGAGAGAGAGGTAGTAGGGAGTTCTCTTCCCCTCTGGCAAAGGAACCATAGAGGGGCCTGCAGGGTGGAACACATACTTTGGGATTGTCCCTGAGGGGAGCTGGGGAGAAGGAGATGTCTAAAGGAAGCCTGGGAGAAGAAAGATTGCAGGGCAGCAGCTTGGGAGGAGCCAGATCTCCAGAGAGAAAGCCCTGAGAGGGAGTGCTCTGTAACAGAATGAGGAGGAACCCTGCAGAGCCCAGCAGAGGAGAGAGGAGTCTGTGGTGGACTGAGCTCGGGGGGCGGGACGAAGATGTTCTATTCTGTTGAGTTTTGAGGTTGGCCTTGTTACCCCGGAAGGGGTGGGAGCTGGCTGGAAGCCCAAGTTGCTGCACAGGCCACCGGAGGACCAGAGTGAGGCAGAAGGGCTGCAGTGTTGGGTCTCACCATGAGGCAGTACCCTGGGATGGTGAGTCTCACAGACTTAGATTTCTAAGTCATGTAAGCACTTTTCAGAATTGTTTGATCCTTAAATTCCACAGAATTATGCGGTTATCCTCTATGGAGGGGGTGGGCAGAGCTGTGGAGGCAGAAGCCATGCACAGACAGGTGTCTTCAGATTTTTAGCAAAGCATAGCCGCTTATTCATTTCAATGTAAATTCAAGCCAGTATAAAAATTCTCCTTTTAAATGTACTTTTTAGAGTTGTGTTGGTGGATAAGAATGAGCTTGTTTGGTCTAAACCTCACTGCACACTAACTAAGAATACTGTAAAGTGCTTTTAAATGATTGTCTTGCCTCGAGAGAAATGACACAGTGTTTCCTGAGTGTTTTTTCCCTTTTCATTTGCATGGAGGAACTGGCAGAAAAGCATGCGCTATCTGGGCTCTTCTGTAAAGCTAGTAAGACACCCTGGCCTATGGCAGCTGAGAGCCGTTTGTACTGGTGTATTTATGGTATCTGCTTTCATAGCCCGCGCTTTAGAACGTTGCTGGACGTTTTCTGTCTGCCATGTAACGTGTTAGCTCCTTACTGGCTGAATGCACAAGTGAGAATTAAATAATCCCGAGCACTTCCATATACTCTTTAATGTACTAAAGCAAGCAGTGGATCATAAATTTGAATAACTCATGCTAATGCCAGGCTTGAAGCATTAGTTTATGAATTCTGTCTCGTTAGAGTTTGGGGCAGGGGGGGAGACACAGTCTGAGAAGGTGCTGTTTTATCCCCAAGCCACTTCTACACACACACTATCTTGGGTGGTATTCATGCCTGCACAGAGGCCCAGTGCAGGACCCATGTGCCTCTTGCTTATTTTGGGAACATAAGGGTGCCCTAGGCCTGGGGGTGGGGGTCATGACATTCTGGGGTGCAATCCAGAGCAGTGTGGGGTTGTCACCACTTGTCCAGCAAGCTGGGGGTGCCTCCGCTGTGCAGTTGCAGCTCCCAACCTGGGCTCCTTGCGAACAGCATGCCGGTCCACAGGCGCTGACTGTTGGTTTTGGGTTTTCTGCTGGTGGGGGCTTTTGAGGAGGGGGTGTGTGTGTTGAGGAGGAGGCTCTGCCAGTTTGGGGAGAGGCTATCATCAGCATTTTTATACACTTTCATATTCCACTTACTGAATGTGTGTATCATTGGTACACCAGTGGGTATGGGGGGGGGGCTTGGGGAGGGGACAGAGAGGAGCAGTTGGGTCCACAGTCTGGGCGCTGGTGCTCCTCCACGCTTCTAGGGAGTTTCCAGTGCTCCTGCCCAGCCTCCCCAAATGCAAGAGTCACGTGGCGCCTATGACTGACTGGCTCGTGGGTACTGAGCACCCCCTATTTTTTGGGGTGGGTGCTTGAGCCCCAGAGCACCCACAGAGTCGGCACCTATGTGCAGGTCACACCCTGAGTGTGTGTGTGTGTAGCCACAGCAACCCGTCAGCAAACGCCAGCTACACTGGCTTCCAGCAGCCTTGGTTACAACTTGCAGGTGACCCCAATACACTCCCAGTACTAAATTTCCCCTCCAAAACATGTGTTCTGCACTGTCCAGCTCTTTTCTGGACAGTCCAGATATACTGGGTCTGTTGCCTCTCTGGGGGATTAGTGTACAACAGTTTGCTACCCTAAATGGAGTTCCCCGCACAGTTCACAACACTGGATTTGTTTTGATTGGAAGAATGAAAAGTCCAGTAAACTACAAAGAGCGAGATTAAGGGAGTGCGAGGCATTAAAGTCAGAAATTGTCACAAGAGAAACAAAAATAAAATGCTTCCTAGTACTAAACGTAACAAATTAGACGTGGTTCAAGGTGAAGTCCCTTTCCATGCTCCCAGCGTCCAAAGTGTTTTGTTGTCTTAAGGGTATAAGTGCCGTGTCCAGTTGGCAGCCAGTATCAAGCAGAGAGCCCCAAGGATCTGTTCAGTATCTTCATTAATGATCTGGAGGATGGTGTGGAT